TAGAGAGAAACCCTACAAATGTGCTGTGTGTGAAAAGGGCTTCAGACTGAGTTCACAGCTTCATGCCCATCAGCAAATCCACACTGTAGAGAAGCCATACAAATGTGAGGCATGTGGTACGGGCTTTACTCATAGTTCACATCTTCAAGAACATCAACAAGTCCACACTGGAGACAAACCCTACAGGTGTTCTGTGTGTAGTAAGAGCTTTAGTCAGACCTCAAGTCTTCAAGCCCATCAGCGAATCCACACGGGAGAGAAACCCTACAAATGCACTGTGTGTGATAAGAGCTTTAGTCAGAAATCACATTTGCAAGTTCATCAGCGAGTCCACACTGGAGAGAAACCCTACAAATGTACTGTGTGTGGGAAAGGCTTCATGTGGAGCTCATATCTTCATGTTCACGAGAGGATCCACACAGAAGAGAAACCTTACAAATGTGGGGTGTGTGGAAAGAGCTTCAGTCAGAGTTCACACCTTCAAGCCCATCAGCGAATCCACACTGGAGAGAAACCCTACCAATGTGCTGTGTGTGGTAAGAGCTTCAGTCGGAGTTCACATCTTCAAGGCCATCAGCGATTCCACACAGGAGAGAAGCCCTACAGTTGTGCTGTGTGTGGTAAGAGCTTTAGTCAGACCTCAAGTCTTCAATACCATCAACGTGTCCACACTGGCGAGAAACCCTACAAATGTGAACAGTGTGGTAAAGGCTTCATGGTGATCTCAAGTCTTCATGTTCATCAGAGGATCCACACAGGAGAGAAACCCTACAAATGTAGCGTGTGTGGGAAGAGCTTCAGTCAGACCTCAAGTCTCCAGACTCATCAGCGAGTCCACACAGGAGAGAAACCCTACAAATGTGCTGTGTGTGTGAAGAGCTTCAGTCGGAGTTCATATCTTCAGTCCCATCAGCGAGTCCACACTGGAGAGAAACACTACAAATGTACTGTGTGTGGTAAGAGCTTCAACCATACCTCAAGTCTTCGAGACCATCAGCGAATCCACACTGTTGAGAAACCCTACAAATGTTAAGAGTGTGGGAGAGGCTTCATGTAGAGCCTGTACCTTCAGGCTCATCAGAGGATCCACACAGGAGAGAATCCCTATAAATGTTACCTGTGAGGCAAGACCTTCAGTCTCACTAAGTCTCATCTTCAAGCTCATAAAAATGTGAGACATGCCATAGGGCTTTAATCACAGTTCACTTCTTCAAGAACATCAATGAGTCCACACAAAAGACAAACCCTACAAATGTGCTGGCTGTGGTAAGAGTTTCCAGTCAGACCGCAGTCTCCAAACTCATCAGCAAATCCACACTACAGAGGAACCCTACAAATGTGCCGTGTGTGCTAAGAGGTTCCATCAGACTTCACTTCTGCAAGTTCATCAGTGAGTTCACTATAGAGAGAAACCCTACAAATGTGCTGTGTGTG